CCGTTGGATGAACAGGCAAGGAGAATATGGCGCTGCAGCTGGGACCGGCGGCGGCTACGCTTACGGCGAAAAGTCCAGCGCTGCTGCCAAGAGCAATCGCAAGTGGTGGTGGATAGGTGGAGGGGTGATCCTCCTCATTGCCGTCATCGCCATCATTGCCGGTGTCGTCGTCAGCCGCAACAACTCAAAGTCGGACGGCAACGGTGGTCTTGCCGGTGTCGTCAATGGCGACAAAAACGACCCCAGCAAGTTTACCAAGGATCCGCGATTCCACCAGTCGTTTTGGGGCATGTGCTACACCGTGAGTCCATGAGGCGCGTGCAGCACTAGCCACGCATGCTAACGTGCTCATTCCCCTCAGCCGCTCGACTCTCAATATCCCGCGTGCGGCGACACGCTCGACTCGGTCATCGAAGATATTCAAATCTTTTCTCAGCTCACCAAACGGTTGAGATTGTATGGCAGCGACTGCAACATTGCGGAATACGTGCTGCACGCCATCAACGTCACCAAGGTCGACATGACGGTCTGGCTGACCGCTTGGCTGCCTCAGCCTGCCGATGACCCGGATGGCAGCACCTATCAGCGACAAGTCAAGAATGTGCAAGACGCCATCAAAAAGTGGGGCGTGGATCACATCGAAGGCGTCGCGGTCGGCAACGAGTACCTGCTGAATGGCGGATCCGAAGCTTCTCTGATCCAACACATGGCCGACATGCGCACGGCGCTAGCGGGCATGAATCTGTCCAAGACTGTACCCGTCGGCACCGGCGATGCGGGTAGCAAGATCACAGAGACGCTTGCTGCAGGTTCCGACTTTATCCAAGCCAACAACCACCCATGGTTTGGAGGTGTGCCCGTCGAACAATCCGGAGGCTGGGTGTGGGACTACACGGCCAACAATGAGCCCGCAACTGCGAAGCAAGCGCCCAACAATCCCAAGCTGTACGTTGCCGAAGTTGGCTGGCCAAGCGGTGCAAATGAGACGAGGTTCATGACGGAAGGGGCCGGTGGGGTGGCTGTGGCTGGCGTGCCCAACGTTCAGATCCTGCTCGACACGTACGTCTGTCAAGCCAACACCAACCTGACCAATTCGGACGCCACATTTGATGGGTACATGTGGTTCGAGGCTCTTGCTGAGCCTTGGAAGGACGCTCTGTACGGCGGCGTAGAGGCTTACTGGGGACTGTTCGACAAGAACAAGAAGCTGTTGGATGGCCTCACCATTCCGGACTGCACCAGCCCTTGATTCCCTGCTGCTCTCTCCTGCGCGCTCCCACTGAATTGAGTTCATTGCGTGTGGCGCGGCCCTGTCCATACTGTATCGCTT